GGTATTAAATTTATCTTTTTACACAATGAATTAACAGACCAACCAAGCATTCCATACATCATTCACTTAGTTAGTCAGTCCGCTTGCCAGTCAGTCAGTCAGTCAGCCAATCTATATTAGTCAGTCAGTTTTATGAATCACAATCAAGACACTGCCACCAGCTATTTTGTTACGCAGTACTATAGGCTGGCGTAATTTTTTGAACCTTAGTCAAAATGAAACAACAGARCAATTACAGCAAAGAATAAAGAGTTTTACGGAAGCCTCTAACAGCTTTACAGASTCCTTACCCCGTGAGTTGTTAGAATACCGACGATAGCAGGCGATAGAAAACCAGACAACGAACCCGCTGTGTTAGCCATTCCCATCAATAGACCAGCGTACTTAGGAGACAGATCGATAAGATTGGGAGGTACTCCTGAGCTGCCTATACCATAGGTACCAATCCCCAGGGTTAGCAGGACAAGTGAATAACTAGACCTGGTCTCATAACCAACAAGGACAACAAAACCAGAACTCACAAGAAGACCTGGAAAAAATTCAATAGTTTTGGAGACATTACGAAGAAATTCAGAAGTCTGGCCTAGCCCTCGTCTRCAACACTTCTATTTCACCAACGAGTAACATTCCTCTAATATACTCGACTCCGCAATTTTGAAGTTTTGTTTAGACTCCACAGGATGCATTTTTAATAGTTATCCGAGGGCGGGAGCTTTAGTGAACTATTACTGAGAACTGATACTTCGGAGCATCGATGCTAGAGTGAAGTTATTAAACCCGTGAAACAAGATTTGACTATAAAAATGTGATAGTCAACAATGCATTTTTGTATCCTAAAGCATAAGTGTAATAATCTATTTCACGTGTTTTTGACTTTACTCTATTACAGTTTCGCCCTACCGCTGGATTGCAAATCCTCTAAATGCATAAACATGTAAATTGTACAGCCATTGTTTTTCTACGAGTAGGAAATGTGTTGACATGATAAAAGGGGTTCTGATGTCAGCTATGATTGATTCGGATTATGGAAACTTAAAAAGTCTGTCCGTACGCACCTAGGCTTTGAAAAAGCTTTCTTGTAACATCCATAGACAGTATTTGTCTTGATATCAGTCTGTCAGCGATTAAACTTGCTAAAGGAGATACTATTGCCATGAACACATAGGGCACAGCGCTTATAATACCTGCCTGAGATAAAAAAAAATTAAACTATATTAAGTCATTTAATACACGATTGAAACATTATTAAAAAATAAGGATAATCAGATGATTTAGAATGTCGTTGGTATTATTTAAGRACGTTTATTGCCGCTCTTTGCCGAAGCAAGTGACTTGGTACTAACCTCTCTAACACTGCATTTTAAGACTTGTTTCATGAATAAAGGAATACATATCAACATTGTGTAGAAGCACCAGTCCCCTACAAACATAGTAAAGTTGCACGCCCACACGGGAGGGCTGSCTAAAATGGCCTTCCAAGGTATCTTCACTTTAGCTAAAGTCTGACAAAATTCATCATCATTAAGGTAGCATGGGTTTCCTGTGGTCATGTTACAAATATGATGATTTTTATGTAGTGATGCTTTAGACATTATGAAATCCTTGTGATGTTCAATATCTATACTTCCAGATAAGCTCCAGGAATGAACAGAGCGCACGTAAAATATTATCATGCAATAATTGTATCGTAAGCGCTCATCAAATGTRTTTTTCTTTGTAACAACACTCTTTGCGTCGTTAAACTGAGTGATTTTAAGTGTGATCACATRSTAACMGCTGGATGGTGCAGTTGATGCCACAGGAATCCTGATCAGTATATTTTACCTCGTCTATCTCCCATGAATGTCCTATGTAATCTATTTCTTGTTGCGAGATACCCGGATGCTCAGTTGGCCTCTCGTACATGAACATCTGCCATACAACGAACCATAAGATTCCAATCGACCCTAMAAGATATGATAGGCAGATCTTTAAGTRTTGTTATGAAACTCATTAATYATTAATGAGCTAGTCGTCCAATCACGGTGGTCTATTGCAATCACGTGAATGTATATACTAGCCGGATAAAGATACTTGTGSCAAAAAAATGAATTCTTTATCAAACACTTATATGTATACAACATTAGTAACGTATCCATGATAMACCCCGATGTTTTATTCATCATGTTCGCAAAAGCAAGGTTTTGAACATTTTAGTGCCAAATATCTCCTATGATTGGTTTAGTGACAAGGCAGATTTTACAGAGAATTTTACTGAAAGAACAATTGTTTTACAGCCTTCATGGTAGTGCGGTGTTAGTGACAACGCACWCCACTACAGCCTTAATGTAATAAAAAAGGTAAAAAAAAAACTAATTCATTGTGACAGGATATAATTACCAAAAAAGTAAAAAGCAAGCGGCCATCCTCCTTCACTTTCCGACAAAAGACCTGTGATTGGCATGGTTAATATTGTGCCAACGATTGTACCTTCAACAAATAAAGATTATTATTATGTAAAATGTACTGAAACCATGTGTCTTCAGAGTCTCTCTCTCAGCAAAGAAATAAMAACGTTTTACTAGTATTTCTTGGAAGTGAACAGAAACCCGCTCGCAGGCTACAGCATAASATGAATATCTGAAACACCTTCTCGAGACATGAAGTTTACTTCCTTAATTCTTATCGCTGGTTATTTAGCATGTGCTAAGCGAAACTTCTTAAAAATACGAGAGGTGCACACAGTCATTTCATTCAAGCTAGGGGAAACTATATCCCCTGMGTATAAGCCATTACCACATGCTTTATGAATGTGTACCTGAGCCGGCTATTGTCAATAACGAGCTCCGCTCATAGATGTGCGACCATGAAGCCCATATGCAGTGATGTGCAGCAGCAATCAGACCCTGTGGACAATTTMGATTTTAAGATTATTGCTGTTTGCCTTTCTTCTTCGCCTATTTGTTATAATGTTACTGAGCTAGAAATTGTACCCGAGTCATTTTATAAAACGTCCTTTACTCTTCTTTCCTTTAAATATTAAAGGTAGTTAGCTCAGRAGATTTTTAGTCCTTGGATTTAATGTAAGAAAATTAAGAGTTTAGTGCGCAAAAATGAAATCAGACCATGATAAACTCTTTTTTACGATTTAAAAAGTTCTTTTAAAAATTGCGACAAAAAAATCGCAAAAAAACAGATGAATTTGCAATATAATAAAAAGCGCTTACAAAATTTTTTATTTCTATTCTTTGCAGAAGTAAATGACTTACACATTTTTACAAAGTTTGATTTGGATCTCCCCCCCCCTTCCCCCCTTTCTTTTCCTCCTTTTCCCCCTCCCCCTATCTCAATCATAAAGCCTTTAAAATCATAGAGAATATTAGACGCCGATAATTTTCCTTACCAGCACAATTCCTTCCAGTATCCTCAGAGCTACGAACAACCTAAAGCTGTATCTCACTACTGGAGGTGTGACTATGGTAAGTATTGAAGCGATTAAGATTGAGAAGCCAAACACGGGTTTACCACCGTACTTCAGCACCAACAGTCCAGCTGGGATTTGTAGTATTGCATAACCGTAGTAGAATGAACCGAGAATAAAACCTGAAAACAGTTACACGGTTTTCTATGAATAATCTAAACAAACAGTCTGCAACGAGGTTTCCTGTGCCATTATAGATAACTGTATCATTGAATACCAAAAGATACTAGCGATCCAAGAGCTAAAACTGYGATAAWATATCCCAAAAATAACGAAAATCATTTTTGATCCTTAATCTTTTCCAATCTCCGAAGAGAAAAACTCTAGTAACGGATCTCTTGGAAGTTGATCCCAATACCAAAGATTCTGTGATCACTGAGCCCAAAAATAAAGCTGGTCCCTGATACTATTTACCTCTTTACTACTTCGCTTAATGATGAGGCAATGATATTATCCTAATGTTCTCAATAGAGAATTATTGACAGGAAACCACAATCATTTTACGCTCAGCGACCATCTGRGTTTGACTCAATAGTGACGCGGTTACATTTCAAGAACCGCGTGAAGGAGACTTGAGACTGGAGCGATTAAGCGGTTGAACCACGCCTTATTTACAAACTCTTTACCTTGTAATTCTGAATTCCATTTGAACTCTGCTTCCTAAAACAAGTAATACAAAGAAATGGTTATATGGCGTGATATGACATAAAGAACTGTTGTCATCGTTACCTGGTACATTATTCTGCCATGTTGTTCAATCGTTCTATTGCTCACCATGGCAACAATGGCCACGCTTAAGCAGGTCCGTATGGCGTACATCTGGAAAAGGCCGAAAAAACAGAGCACCACAAGGATATAGCGCTTAGGGACACCAGGAACCTTGGGAGAAAGGATTACAATAAATCATACAATTAATTGTTGACATCACGCTGAATGATTCACCAAATCGCTAGCTACCTTGGSTTCATGGCTGGACAGTTGTGATGAGTTTTGTGAYGAGTCTTTTGACGAGACATCATGTGGCTGCGTCATTAACAAGCCTAAAAAAGATAAACACGCAATGTACTTTATATTAAGACATTCACATTTATTCCCGAAGGAAATTCATGATCAAATTGTCATTATTTTATCAGTTTATTGAAGAGATGAAGAGGAAGCAACTATAGCTGATTCGARCTATCGCTCTCTTCATGTAGACAAAAAATAGTATTCTATCCCATGGATTACGATTTTTTTTTTCTCTTTTTCAAGACCGGAGTAGTAGGCCTTATGCTGTACGCGCAAGTATCTCTCRAGCCTCAATCATATCTGTAAGTTCACCCTCTGGTGTATGTCCTGTTTGATCAAAGGTMRTTAGCGGCACGCATGTTTGGCACAGGGAAGAATAATTTGTATACGCATTGGATATATGAGTAACGAAGGCCCAAATTAATARCAAGAACRTGCAGTTTATCCAATCCAAGATGGTGCCTGTATGGCTTTATAACGCTGTGTTGTCTCATTTCGCATTCTAGTTAGTTGCCTAGATTTAATGCCGTTTGATTTTTCTACCACAAAAAGCTATTAATAGAAAGCTATTATTAGACTGACTTTAATCATATTTTGAGGGATACTTTTAAGACTAGTAATTTATAATATTGTATTTTAATACAATATGAACAACATGTAAATAATCGCCTATTAATCGAATCTCAGCCTCTTCCACACAAACCTGCTGCTTAGAGAACAATGGTCACCATGAAAGAGATAGCACTGCTTGGAAAGAAAAGGACGTATTTTCATGAAAATTCAATGGTTAATGATATATTAGTATAGATMCAATTTCTTTTAATTCAGTTCACTWMCGAATGTGTTGACCAAATAATATTCATAGAATCAAAATGTTTTACAAAAAAGCAACTGATATATCAAACTACAAAACGTTAAATCAATGTTTCGCTGACATTATTCTACATGAAGTGTATACACTTACCTTAATATATAATATGTTGCTGAATTTTAGTGTTTTRATCTCATGATCGATTGCAGCTTTCGTGGCTTATGTAACTGGGTGTCTGTACCTGTTTCACAACACTAGAGACACCAGTGATACCAAGCCATGCATGGACAACTTACAATCAATCAAACACTCTCCCCGTGAAGAGGCTGTCAACACCAACATACACCCACATTGCCTTATTTTAAGAAAGATTAAACTCTGTTTTGCTGTCTATCTTCGTGGTTTACTCATAGGGTTTTGGTTTTAGAAGAACACGATATTTCGGAGCAAAGACAGAGAAAAAAATACTTTATACACCCTTTTARTAAGTCCCAAGGTATTGTTTTCTCCGCACWTGACGTCAAATTTATTCTTTTGAAATTTTTACAATACAAAAGGAATTCAWAAGAATAMATTTGACGTCAAGTGCGGAGAACGTAATACCTCGGGACTTATTAAAAGGGCATATAAGGYTTATTTTAGTCATGARACATCAATTGGAAGTATTTGGAAACAACAAAAGAGAATAATGATAAAAAGATATATTTACGGCAAAATAGTGCACTATTAGTAAGAGTAATATAGAAAAGTGATCAAAAAAGAGTTTCATTACGAACCTTGAAAAAGCTCAGTCACCGGCACATCGACACATATATTTCCGGCCCATCCCTCCAACTCTTCCAGTTAGTTCATAATACATGTAGAAAATTCAATAGATATTGATTAGTTTCCCATTGAACTAGTCACACGACGGGAGAAATGTGTCTACTGTTTGTAGGAATAAACGTTATCCAACGCAATACTGATTTTTTGAGCSTCGTCACAYAGTAAGAGTTGGATTATMTTACTACATTATCGTCGAGCGCCCGCAACATGTGTATCTTTGATTCGATGTCTCTTWGTTTYGTCACCTTGGAAAMATTGTAGCACGTTTGTAGCCGGATTAATGTCACTTACTTTAATCATCTCAGATAAATGTAGCGTKTGACAGGATGTTGCGCAAAATAGGTAMCCTAGTGCAGCCCGCCAAAAATTAAAGAACAKKAGTATTCGAGAAATTGYGCATGCGTGCAAAGCCAGTGTCTAGAAAAAGATGCAGGTAAAGTCTCTAGAGGGGTGATATATTGCTCAATGGTAGTTTGCTGCAATGCAACAAGAAGAGAAGTGCTCTGAATCGTGCAACACGAAGTGCGYAACGTACAAAAAGAGAACRAAAAAGAAAAATACGAAAGAAAAGAAAAAAAGATCGRAAAAAAACTGAACAAAGGAAAATWATTCTAGTCCACTCGCATTTACTCGGTTCATGAYTCGAAATGAATGAGCCAACCAACGAAGTACCATATATGGAGTACGTRCGTTTAATACCATGCACTATATAGAACAAGACCATCCATAGAATACACCAGGAAAAACATTCATGTTGGTCTAAACTAGCTACTTCAAAGGATTTCAGCTTCCCCTCTCTGTTTGGCTGCGAACTAGTCTGATTGGCRACTGATCGGTCTCCATCATTGGGGCTGAAATTTCTCGAGTACGCTACGACGATTTGGCACCTTATCCGGATGCATGGGTTCTTTTTTTGGCATTTTTTTTATTTGCCCCAGTCCAATATTGATTTCGATCTTATTTATTGGTGCCACTATTTTATGTTAGTTCTGTTCACTGACATATTAATCTTCATTACTGCACGGCTTTTTGTAGCGAATTTGATACTATTACTCCATAATGAAGTGCGATCCAAAAAACAACACCGTGCACCACTGTAAATCAAGCTGWTAATCCCCAAGAATACGTCTCCCGTCGCGTAATAATCCAGACGTATGGTCGTTAAGGCGTTGCCTCACGGTTTCATCGCCATAGCAACACTTTGATCTTTCCATGACATCACATTTATTTCAATCATTTGAGTTCACCTAACACCCGTAGTTGATAACACACCACTGTACGAAGACATCAAATTCAAATACCAAAAATCTCTTCCTTTGATATTTGCTGGGCGTATGTATTCAAAAATACAAGGATTGTCAGTTTGTAGTTTGTTATCCTTTGAGATCGTTTCTTGGTTTTTGTTCGATGACTGGTTCTACCTGCTAAGACGTGATTGAAGACTAACAAACCGAGACTGAAAATAYTTCCACAACAACAAACAACCATGGAAAATCTCATCAAAAAACGTAAAAGAAAACACACTTTGGAGAAAATGATCCATTAATTTCGACGTGGAAACATTGAATACATTTTTTATAGAATTTCAAGGTAAGGTAATAATTATTGCAAAAAYTATCGCTAAAAATCCCCGTTGCAAACGTCTGTCAGATGGGTAGTATTAATGTATGTTTTAAGGTGTTTAAAGGTTTATTCTGATTTATAAAAGGTTTACGGTGTGAATAGTTATACAAAGGTTGTTATGAATATAATAGAAATATTTATATATAAATGGTATTTACACCTATATGCAACAACGCCAAAGTACGCCCGGCCGAACTAGCACAGCAAAAGTCTTATAGACRTAAGGGTGCTCTATTTTGATGAATTTGGACTTTGAATGTATGTTTAATGTACTTCCTTTTTCATCCCATTTTGTTTACTAAAGTCTAATTATGTGTTGATTTTGCGCATCGATCAACCATATCACAACATACAATGTCCGTTTGAAAATCCCAAATAATCACAAAAGTGCTAAATTATAACACGCAACTGCCACTGCATTGAAAATTATTCTTCATAAGCGGAATATAAAATATAACGAAATATAACATTTGTCATCAACATCACTTTGAACAACTGGGACGGTCAGTTTTGACTGCGGGCTAACCTTTATACAACTGCAACTTTGCTGGTATATGTACACCAACTTAGTCTTTGTTTTTGCTTCGGTGATGTTAAGGCAGRGAGAATGTTAATGGTGAAAAAATATGCATTGCACGAGCAACCTTTGTTGGAATGCTGTAGTGTATCTTCAAAATAGTTTTAGATGAATCTATAATTACAGATCTTTTGTATCCTTTAGATGGATGGACAAGAAAAAGACATCAAAGATATTGAAAAAGATTCTTCAAGTGAATTATTAGACAACCAAAATAAAAACGACGATGCACAAAATACTGAAACTTCGTCAAATCGTTGTGAATCAAGAACTTCATTTTTACTTAAAAGATCGATACCTAAGCGATACGTGTTRTTGTTCATGACATGGTTAGGGTTTATCAATATTTATGCTATGAGAGTGGATCTCAATGTAGCTATCGTGGGTATGGTAAATGACCAGGAAATAGAAAAGAACGGTGTCATCTTTACTAAGGTAAGCCAAAYTTTATTTTATGGGGTAAAGATATGAATATGAGGACCGCATGGCACTATGATCAACACGATAWAGAAATGAAAGAAAGTTGTTCTTAACTTTATTTTAATTTTATGATGAGTTGATAATAACAATGATAAGTGTTAATTAATTGAAATTGGTGTTGAATTACAGTTAAGTGGCTTAGAAATAATCTGAACAATATTTCGGTCGGTCTTCAGGAAACAGTCTTTTTTAAATGAATGTAAAAAAAATAATCATGCTATATCCTTGCTTTTAGGCAGCCGAGTTTGATTGGAACTCAGCATTACAAGGTAAGCACACATTGCTACGTAGGCTATGTTAAAAACTAACAGAAAAGGTCCAGTATTTGCATAAAACTCAATGAAACATGAAGGCTATGCGTCTTAGTGAAATTTGATTGGTCCTCTTGAAATGGGTTTGTTTTGGAGCTGTTTACTACACTGAAAGAATGATGTAGACCGCTCCAGAAGGCAGATTTCCTTGAGCTATAAAATGGCTTAAACAATTAACAGAAAAACTTATAGCAATGTATCCCTTATCTTTACCAGGTCTTGTCTTAGGATCATTCTTCTACGGTTATTGGGTACTGCAAATCCCCGGTGCTTGGCTGGCCATGCGTATCGGAGGTACCCGGGTATTTGGTTACGGGGTTTTATTAACCTCGTTCTTGTCTCTACTGACCCCGGTAGCAACTAGGTATAGCGTATGGGGTCTCGTTGGAGTTCGAATATTTCAGGGCTTATTTTTGGTAAGGAATGGACAGTAAAAATCGCCTGATTAGATTGGTCACTAATGACGTCATGWCTGTTTTGGCGAAGTAATTCTTAAGGATGGTAGGATATTAAGACTGCYGATGTCTCGTAAAAACTGCTAACTAGATACAATCGTAGACAAATATACTCTGGAGCAACATTAGCGATGTTTTACCAATGCAATATCAATGAGAGACTTACCCTCCCTCCCTCGTCTTTCCCTTCCCTCCCCCCCTACAATATTGATGCACGCGATTTTATCATACTCTCGCCAATCCCATGGTGCATCTCGCCGAACCACTCATGACGTCATATGGGTCACATACGAAAATGATGCTTTAATAGTAATGTAACGCATGTAATGTTTAACCATGTACTAGGGTGTCACATTCCCATGTAACCATGCCATATGGAGTAAGTGGGCCCCGCCCTACGAGAGAAGTACTTTAATAGCTGTATCGATAGCTGGTAAGTACTATAGGTAAAAGTTCTATAAATATAACCATATATTATAACCATATTAACAGAATGTWTTTACCTTCAGGTTGTCCTTTTGGTAACATTGTCGCAATACCGCTGACTGGGCTTCTTACAAAGTATGGTTTCGATGGTGGATGGCCATCAGTATTTTACTGCTTTGGTAAGACACCATATAAAGATAATAGCATGTAAATACAGGCAGCCCAACAATGACTTGTATAAATGACCATGATGTTAATTAGTCTTAAACAGTAAGTTAAGTTTGTGGTGTTGCAGTTAGTAATGTACCACGTCGTTATATATAGCCAAGTTGGGAGCATGATCTGTTTGTTTTAAAAAACAGTGTAGAAAATGTTGCATAAGTAATTTTTTTTATTATTATTATTAATTGCATAATTTATTCAAAATGATAGGTTTTTAAATATCCAAAAAATCAAGCAATCAAGATATTCTTGGTTCAGTGACYTCGAAAAAAGCATTAAACCGATGTGTCAAGGAACACTGATCACAGATCATTTGGTTTATGATCATTGTACCTTGACGCCTCGGTATTCAATGCTTTGTTCATGGTCACTGAACCTGCGAATGGACTCCAATTTCTCGACAGGAACAACGGGGATTATTTGGTATTTATCGTGGGAATTCATTGTCCATGATTGTCCTGCTAACCATCCTACTATTTCAAAAGAAGAAAGAGAATTTATAGAATCAAGCATAGCTTCATCAGGCGATAGAACTGAGGTAAGCGGTCATTTCACTAAACAAGCATAGACCTTTTCTGAAATACAAAATCATSGTGCATTGTGGTCTAGCCGTTCAGAAAAAAAACGACATATTTGGCCGAATGAACAAAAGATGTTTGTACCGAATCTACACTACAATGCAAAGCAAACTGCTATCTCAGAAAAGGCCTATGCATGAACCAAAGAAGTGGGATATCAAAGGAGGAAAAGTAAAAGGGAAGTAACTGAAAAGGGAGAAGAAAAAAGGACAAAAAGGAATGGAATAAAAGTATCTCATCTACCATTATGATTTCTATCACCATGGTRACAAAGGCGCATCGTATTGACCAAAATGAAGACAAGGAATGGATGAAAGGAGGRGAAATAGGATAGAAACGCACAGAATTAGGAAAGGAAATAGCAAGAAGAGAGGAACGTGAAATTAATGATTTATACGGTTTGTTCCAGGATACCTCAGCATTACTATCATTCCTGTGTTTGCTAACAATAGTAATTGTTTATTTGTAGTTTGTTGGCCTTCCATGGTACCATATATTAAGGTCCAAGGCTGTGTGGGGYATTGTAATTGGTCACTTTGGTGCTTGCTGGGGGTATTATACTCTCTTCACTGGCATGCCTACTTACTTCAAGGACGTGCTGAATTATGACTTAGAAGAGGTAATACGTGCATTTTATGCATATGAACACATTTCATATATTATGCAACTTTAATATGATGTCATGGTATTTCTACGTTGAGGCAGAGTGGAAGAAGGCCTCTTTTTCGTATCGAACGCGTTTCAAATTATCGCATACGTCATAATTTTAAAAATGATTGTCGATCTCTATGTTTTCTTGTCGCCATTCAGTTCTCTTTTTATTAACGTCCAAGTGAAACTGGGCAAAATTTAATCAGCAATGCATATACTTCTAATTTTCATTTCAGACGGGTTTTCTTGCTGCCTGTCCATATCTCTTCAAGGCRTTACTGGCCCCCTTAGGTGGCGTTATTGCTGATTATCTTATTAAAAATCAAACTTTGACTATAAGAGCAGTCCGTGCAATATACTTTGCAATAGGTGAGTKTAAGAATGCTTTAAAAATCCAACTCAATCATTGCATCGGTAATWAAACAAGGTGGCATGCTTCTTGAAGTATTACATTGGGGGAATCACTAGAATGTAGGTGCATAGCAAGGGCGGATCCAGCATTTTTTCCAGCTTTTGTCAGTAACATATAGCTAAAAAGTGTAGGTGGAACTGATCATTTGTTAGCTGGGCATTGTCGAGAGCAAGAAAATCATGCACAATTTCACCGGAAGCAAATTGACTTTTATCGCAACATATCTTTTAAGCAGGATATTGGAAGACACATGTTGTGTATATTACTCGTTTTCTTGATAAAAGTACAACTAGAGTATAAACAGCAGAAAAAAGATTACGTCGTCCATAAAGGGGGGCTGCGTCCGCACCCAAATCACCTGGATCCGCCCCTGCACCAAACACGGCTTTTATAAGTGTTTTTGATAGACATTCTATACAACGCTTATTGCCACCAAAGAYCATACTGTCTGTTCCTTTAAAGACTATTTCTTTCTYGACTTATYGCAGGTTGTCTARTTGCTGGTGTTTTCATCGTCGCTACCAGCTACACCGATGAGCGCRTTCTYTGCGTTACATTTTTGGTSCTTGGTGTTGGTTTCTCGGGTCTMAATGCCATAGGGTACGCTGTTAACCATTTAGATATAGCGCCCAAGTACGCAGGTGTGTTAATGGGTCTGACAAACACTTTCGCCTCAACCCCAGGGTTCATCAGCCCTCAAATTACTGGATTTGTAACAAAGAATAAGGTACGTAGAACAAAGGCAAATGATTGGTAGGAGAGTAATAATATAGCAAATGCGCCCAGGATATAGATGGTGAATACTTACTGTAACGTCTTGTAGATGTGCTTCAAGATGACCTTTATTCAACATGTAAAGGGTCAACATACAAACTAGATGTGGCTTGTAGTCAGCCATAAAAGCACATGGTTTTTACACAGTAATCACATGACTGATCACGTGACACTTACCTTCATCTAAAGTTAAGTATTTACCATCRAACAGCAGTGTCTGGCCGCATTTGCTATATCATTACTCTCCAACTGACATGCTGCTAAAGGATAACTTTTACCGTAAGTGACTCATTTTGTTTATGCAACTGCAAATATTATAGTTCAAAGGTAATGCGCGCCAAAAAAAATGAAGACGAGTCTCCATGAAACATAACATTTATCCAGTATTGGTTTAAAAGCCCGAGCCCTTATCTTCAATTCTTTTGTGTACGTTAAGACAATGAGACTTCCAATAGAGCGTATTTCGTATGACTGTGCAAGTTACGGTACACAACACGGATACGGTACAGTACGGTACGGTACGGATACGGCACGGTCACGGAACCACGCCCTCTAGGATTCCAAATAAAATAAAGATGTGTATTGTTAAAACAATACATCACCGCTACGGCACGGTACGGTCACAGCGCGAATACGTCCAGCAAATAACGTACTGTAATAATAGGTAGTGATCTTAAAGTCACTCATCTTATTAATTCACTTCATCTGTTTGTAGAAACAAGAGGAATGGAGGATCGTATTCTGGATCACCTTCATTGTTTATGTAATAACCGTAGCGCTTTATGCAATCATGTGCTCGGGTACAAGACAACCGTGGGCCGGYGGTATGCCTAACCGAGAAGAAATCCCATTGAAAGACAAAAAGATAGAAAAATAGAGACTGGTTTTGATAATTTAACATTTTCAAATGTCGTAGTGTTTTGATATGAGTAGTTTAGTTCTTTGGATTTTCATAACACAAAAATGGCAGTTAAGTAGACGTATATTTTTTGTTTTTTAATACTCTGGATTGCCAAAGGAAACACAACTCGAGGCCAACACATGAACCCGGGCGCATGACTTCCGCTTTTGCGTTTATTGAGGAATGTCGCAATACACCAATCTCAACTAAAAACAGCACTGAACCAAAMAGACAWTACAACTGCTAGTACTATTGAGATAAAGTGTTCCCGCGATGCTGTGAGCTGGCTTACATCGGCCGCCAATTATATACAAACCYAAAAAAAAGAACTCTTAAAGAATAAAGACAACAATTTAAAATCGCMAAAAGTGTTTTGGTCAAATTTTGAARACCAAAACAACTTAAACAATTACATTTTCAAACTTAAAAGTTTGAAACACCAATAAATTATGGAGCGTTTAAAAAGCACTTAACATAGCAGTGCCAAATCATTTAGAGTATTTTTCAAATTTATAGGTTACGTTCCTTGTTATATAATGAAATGGTTTGCTAACAAAATTGCGGAAATTAGTACAAAATCATTTAAGGGACTGCGCAATATTTATCGGGGGGAGATTGAGAATCAAGAGGGGGGTCAGAGCGAAATTTATTTCGTTTACGACGGGGGAGGTAATTACCCAACAAACCACCCCCACCCCCATCCTGATAAAGATTGCGCAGTCCCTAACTTCTAATGCGTTTGAGCAGCCACACAAAACTTTGTATGTGTAGGAAACTTACACCACCTCCTAAGACCTTGCGACTCCWTTGAGATTGCGTGTGCCCAGATAGAAAAAAACCTGGACCGCCTCTACATGGGTCTGTACAGCGTTTAGTTAAGTGAAAAGTATACATTGAAACGTTTAATCAAACAAATTTACCATTTGTATATATCATATTATATATACTGTAAATATTTGATGAAATATTGATGTACGTACAAAGGAAAATGAGGGAATAAAAACCATATAATCCGTTGTTTATATTTGGATTTTTAATTGCATTTAAAGTGTACCTTATCGATTCAATTTGTAATGTCTCTACACAGCAATCAATTTYAGATCGCCTTTCGTTCAGCTGTGACCCAGCASTATTCTAAATCTGTTTATTTCCATCATYACCACTCGTTTCTCTACACCAGCACAATGGATAGTTGCAGCATGATTGTCTCCATGGATACCAAAAGTTATTGTCCAGTTGATTGGGGACTGGAGCTAGTGCTAGCTTGTGGTCACTCACAGCTTGTGTGATATTCTGCATGGCAGACTTGTACTGTGGATCGCTTGGTCCTAGAGGAGAGTCCTCAGACGGGTCTATAAAAAAATATGGTGAAAGGAAGAACTACCTACATCACATTGCACAGGTTAACAGTAGGTATAGTAGAGTATCCAAAACCAATGATTATGGCTTCATCTACCGCATCTGAATGAC